AAGTGAAGAGCAGTATTACAGCTGACAACCGTAAATTTGTGTAAGATCTAGTAATGATAACAGAAAAAGCTGCGAGTGACAAGCATGAGAAACTATAAAATAATGATAATAATACCTTTTTCTTCTCAAATAACTACGTTAAAAGAGTCACGCCAGTTTACAGGCTAGATCAAATTATCACAAATGCTTTCACACTTACTGTAAAAGTTATAGCAGTTAAATTAAGTATAACAGTCAGTTTCTGATAGCATATTTACACCGTGTCACTGACAAAAACAGTATAATACAGCCAAATTTTCATTAGTAGAGTACAAATAAGGAAGGTGCACAATAGGTCAGTTGGAACGCGCTTGATACGAGCTGAGATCCAGAGAGTCATGTACATGGGGTGCATGTTCCCTAGAGTCGCCAAGGATTTCCCACCGTGAATGAGGTTGTGAAAAGGAGAAAAGAGAGAGAGAAAAAGGCAGCAGTGTGGCAAGTGTATATATATAACCAAAGCCACTACTTAACCTGTCATGTTGAAGTAGTCAATACAGTAGTTAGTGAAGATAAAATTCATACTGATCACTTAAATTAAAGTAAATTATGGGAATATAAGAATATAACGCACAGATAAAGGAGTACTGCAAAAAAGAAGGAAGAGTTGTGCAGTGTCAAGTGGATAGAGGAGAAGTCGAAGTAAGAAGCTGGATTTATGTACGTTGAAATCGAAATTTCAGTTGAAAGAGTAGAGTTTGTAAAAAGAAAACGTTGATGATTAAAATTTCGCACTGTCCAACTGTTTATTATTATTATTATTACTATAGAATGCCAACCTCTAGGTCATACTGTAAGCGCCTGAGTAAGAATGTTGCGGGTGTCTCGACAGAATAGCGACCTCAGCATAGTTTTGGAGACGTGAACCACAGAAGTAGCAAGCGTATAAGAGCAACCTCAGTGCTACTGATCAGTCATCACATCAATCTAAAGAGCCGAAAGCAAACAAAATGTTCTGCCCCACAAACATGGGTGGTTTGAAGTTATCGCCCATACCATCAATGTTTGCTGGTCAGTAACTCCACCCTCCCTCCTTTTGTGTTGTTAGGCTCATGTTAAATGTTTAAAAGAAGCTATTAAGTTCTACTTGGTGCTCTATGTCTCACATCCTGTTGAGAAACACTATTTCTGCAAGTTCCTTTCGCAAACTTGTTTGGCTGTTACAACTTATGAACTATTGGTTAGGCATCAATGCTATACAGTTAACAGTTATGGAGAAATAGTAAGAATTTTCAAACAAGATATAAACATTTAGAATGAAGTGGAGGAGATGTTCTTACCTAGCTAAGCAGGAGATATAAAGAGTATCACGGTTAAAAGTGGAGCGATAGATAACACTAAGGGATCAAGGTAAGTCAATAGCGTGTAAGTGAGAACAGTATAATTGATAATAGGCAATGTGAAACTCACACAGTTGTAAGTTTTGATAAGGTTGCGCCCAGGAGAGTAGGGTGCGTTGTAATCAACTAGTTTACAGTTGAACAGTGACGATCGACCCAGTGAGTAGGGTAACCTATCTACTTCAAATAAAAACTAAAGAGATTTATATTCAACTAGAAAAATTTTATGCTACTTGGGGGGGTAAAAATAACTAAATAAGACGCAGTACTGAGTTCATTGTGTTTAAAGTGTATGCAGAGCTATTATTATGAAAGCAGGCTGCGAGTGAGTTCACAAGTGCAGAAGAGTCAGTGCCACTGAGTGCATCATAAAGAAGTTGAACAAACTCATGTAACCCACTTGCCATGCGTATTTTTGAGGGATAATAATGATAACAAAGCTAAGAATATATTTCAGGAACAACTAGAAAAACAGTTAGGCGACCACGTAAATGATCCCCATCAGAAGGTAGCTTGGAATGATATCCAAATGGCCGTGAATCTCAGTCGCATCCACCGAATTGACAGACGCCAGGAAGCTCAACCCACCTGGCTCTAAACATGACGGAGAGCGAAGTCAGCTTAAGCGCAGGCTGATAAAAAATCTACGCAATGATCGAGAACTGTAGAGGGTGACGAAAGCGAGAGAACTGGAAAAGGCAGCGGTGATACGCAATAGTAGACAACTTTTCCGCTTTATCAAAGAAATCCATCTGTTAGCGAAACTATCTCAGAAAAGGATGGCTGCATCATGCATTCTCAACCCAGGAGACTGGATCGATGGGCATAACTCTCCAGGGATCAGTTTAACTGGCCTTCAGCCACACGTCAGGTACCCACGATCTCCAGTCATCCTGAATGGCAAATCGATATAAGTCCTCCGACTGTTTATGAAGTTGAGAAAGCGATAGGAAATCTGAAGTGAGGGCGAGCAGCAGGGCCTGACAGACTTATCCCTGAGATTCTTAATAACGATGGTCCAGTTTTAGCAGCTAGATTGACTGAGATCTTATGTAGAACCTGGGAACTAGGCGTAATCCCATCTGACTAATCTCAATCACTGATTGCCCCAGTCTACAAAAAAGGACAAAAGTCTTTTTGTGACAATCACAGAGAATATATGTATAATTTTGTCGTTGCTGCCCTTTTTTCTCCCTCTCTTTTATCCCCTCCAGAACCTTTTTCACAGTGGAACATAAATGGCGCTTCTTGGCAACTTGCATCTCATGTACGCGCACGTCTAGGTCACAGCTTGTATCAAGCGTTTTTCAACTGACCTTTCCCAACAAATTCACTGCTGATCTAAGCAAACCACCCAAGAAACCTACTGTACACTTTCCTTATTTGTATTCTCCTATTGAATATGTGGCTGTATTAAGCTGTTCCTGTCAGTGACATGGTGTAAGCGTGCTATCAGGAACTGACTGTTATACTTAATTTAACTGCGATAACTTTTGAAGCAAATGTGGTAGCACTTATGACAATTAGATCTAGCCTGTCAACTGGCATGGCTCTTGTAATATACTGTTATTCGAGAATAAATATATTATTATATATCAAGTACCTAGATGGTATAATAACAGAGAACTGGTCAATTTTATGATAGAATGTTTAGGATGAGTGCGCTTATTTATGGTACCGGGATTAAGGATCAAACCTGACATTGTTAATTTGTCATGATATGGCTACCTGATATATAGGACCTCACATTGAAGTCATATCTCTATCCCCCGACCGAAGCTGCTACCTTGACGTGGTGGTCGGGCTTGCCTATCGTGATGACCCAACCGAGCTATATTGGCTGCAACATATGTTCCTGAAGGTTCTACAATGCCAGGCAGGTCGATTGGAGGACGATGAGACTAAAAGCAGCTACTCAAGGTCTGAGGGCGAAGTCGTACTGCCGACTGCAAGGGGGTGTAACAGCAGTAAAGAGTTTCCCTCGGACAACCAGCATCTGCAACGATGCTGCCTTCTCACAAGGAAGGAAGGGTTAGAAAAGGTCGACCCTAAAAATGTCACACCTCACCCTACCTCACGGATTTCCGTCTCCGGAGGTAAGGGCTGCTCACTAAGGGCTTTTAAGAGCGGAGCTAATACTCTAAAAACTTCTCATAAAAAGGCCGTGCGTGACCGGTCTCAAGCAGTTGTCCCTTGGGCTCTGCGGTCACGCTACCAAGTCTCCAAGACCAACACTAATCTATCTTCCTTTTCAGGTCCCTAAAGAAACACCCTTCCACGGTGTGGGCAGCCGGGAAGTGACAACCGCCCTCATACCTGTAACAGCACGCGAGACCGAATTGGTCAACATAAAATCCTTCCTACACCCCCTAATATCTCTCTTATCTCCACGAATAACTCTTCTCGCATTCCCTTATCTCAACTGCACCGCCAATGCAAACGATTCGTCCTCAAGAAACGTTATTCCTGGTCTCCTGAAACCCCGTTCTAGACTACATGTTGGAAAATAGATGAAGTGGTGAAACTTCATCAGTTCAGGTGGTTGGGACATGTGTTACGTATGCCTAACCACCGACTGCCTCGACGAGCTATGTTTTGTGGTGTAGGAGTAGGTTGGAAGAAAGCTAGGGGCGGCCGAAACCAAAACATGGCAGAAATCCATGAAGTCACTGACTAGTGGACTGAGTCATGTTGGTAGATGTAGGGTACCTGGTTGGGGTCCGCCAGAAAGTAAGTCATCAATGGTTAGAGACGTTGAACGACATGGCTTAAAATCGTTTGCGATGGCGCAAGTGCATCCATTTTTTGAGCTCTCTCAAATCCTAATCTTCTGGAATCGTCAGCACTTCTACCTTTGTCTTTCTAACCTTATCTCACTGAATTATTCTTCTTGAATAATATCTTTGAACCCTAGTCTTTTTCATTACCATTAATACCTCTACTATCTTTATCACTATGGGATTTGATTTGACATTTGCGTCTCTGTGCTAATGTGGTATGGCAACATGAACTTATGTACATACGTACGAAGTTCTACGTTGCAACTGACTGACTGACTGACTGACTGATATATCTTTGTCCATACCGACTTGTTCTGTCAATAAAGTAGGCAGTTCTTTGCAACAACCCTTGAAGAATACTTTTAGACTGGCGAAGGAATACTGTGTTTGATATCGAGATCGGTTGAATACGTAGATTGACCACACCTAAATATCTGAGTCATACCACTACGATTAAGTATTTAATCGTTTACCTTTTCTGACCTTGTACAAGTTTTTAGAGGCTAGTGAAATTCTGTTGTTGACATCAAACACTTGTAACAATACCGAATATCTAGAACCGTAAAAATTTAGGGCTTAGAAATCAATTGGTTCATGCTAGCTAGTGAAAAATATATTGGGGATTGTAAATTTACTACCACGGACTGGACTGTTAGGTACCAATGTCAATCCAAATCAATGCCCTGGAAATTAGTTATAGAAAGCTAATTTATGGGGGATTAACAAAGTAACTGACGAAAATATGGCGTTGTTTATAACCAAACCAGGACCTTTTTGTGACTGGACATTAAACTTCGTTAGGCAAAGCTTCGTTCACTGCTTGCACAACAATTGGAATTCCAACAGTTCCGCGGAACTTGTGACTCATGACGCTCCTTCCAATGGAAAATGGAGAAAGTATTCTCTGTGCATTAAAATGTACGGTCTTTATTTATTAAACTCACATACCATAGGTTTCGAACAAGAGAAACCACTAACTATACCACCAATTCTTGAGGACTACATCAAACAGATATCCAGAAATGGACAAACAAGGTAAATTCATCCTTTTAGTGAGTCTTGTAAGGCTTCCATGGATATATGTAAAGCCTCTGCTATTACATAAATACAACAAAGTAGTAGAATCATTCATATCTGAAGGAAGTGGTCTGGATTACTCAATTGTATCTACCCCACCTCACTTAAGTGAACTTAGGCAGCGCGTGTTCAACACTCTTAAGAGACTTGATGGGTAAGTTTTTACTCTGGAACATTGTGCTTTTAGAATACCATTTACTATTCAGAGAATATGTGAACTCTTTAGCAGTCCTACTCGTCACTACCAAAGGGTGGATAAGTTCCTTAGGGGACTAGAAAAGGTAATGCATTAACATTAAATTCATTAGTTGCAGGTTTGTATGGTGGTATCCACAGTAGATCCTTATGGGAAGTAAGTTAACGTGTGGATTTTGTGTTAGACTGATTTTTCTGGTTAAAAATTGCACCCGAAGTTGTCTAGATCATTTTATCAAAACCAACTTTTGGCCTGGAAGAGTACTAAGAATGTATCTCTTAAAACTAGTGAAAACCAAATTTTTGTGCTCCTTCTAAGCTCGTTGAGGTTAATAATCGGTGTTTTTAACCGCAAAATATTATTCCTAGGGGCACTTTCGAGAGATCGGTTAATACCTAGCCTAAAAAGCGAGCCAAATAATTTCAAAATTATGATAGGCTTCACGATGATGGTATACAAAGTCCCAAAAAGACATTAATTAAGTGACAGTCTAAAAACGGTGTAAGTAAAATCCCTGATTCTTCAAAGCAATTTGTATTACTTAAGTGGTTGTTCTTCAATGCATCAACGAACGCAGTATTTAGTGTTTCCTACCAATAATGATACTAAAACTACTCATTTTGATATGAAGGGTGATGGAGTGCCGTGCTCGTGCGATGTATAGTAACAGCGTTTCTCACCGTTTGAACCACTAGATGCTTGACATCAAGGTGACGTTTAACGTGTCATGTATTTGCGTGACGACATTTTATCTCTTGGTTGCTCATTTATTCTCATTCAGCTTTTCACACAAAACTTGAGTTTTCGGGGTAACAAATCCGAGCACAGATTGTTCTAATATTGTCTTAGGGATGACTAACTCATTTCGAATAAACATTGATCGATATTTGCTTGCGTTTAGCTCGGGATCTAGAACTATTTAGCTCACGTTTTCTGCTGCATACCAGTCGAGTCAGTCGGTGTATCATTAACACCATAGAACCTAGCACAAATGTTTATTGGTCCATTTCTCCACGCTGTATCGCAGTGAAATCAAACTAACAGTAATATAAATCGATTAAGCTGTCTGTAATTACGGAGTGGTCAAAATATCAGTTTATGGTCTTAGTACGATGAATGGGAAACTGATAATCCATACCTGGTGTCATTATATACTGGAAAGCTTTTCCTATTCTCTAATTTGTCCAGATCCGGTGCTGATAGCTTATTAAAATAGGTCTAAATAGTGCTAGTTCTAATGCTACTTAAATTTTGGTGAATATTCATTATTTACAGTAAAATTCACCAAGAAGATCCCAGGTTCCCAAGCCGTGCTGGTTTGGATGACTGTGGGTTAATAATGGAAGGTTCTGTTACTTCACCACCCATCTCTCCATCTCCTGAAAATCCCCAAGTACACCATATTTCCAAGTCCTCAGATGAGGAGGTCACTGAGGAAGAAGATGACGAAGGTGAGGACAATAGTAGTAGTGATGCAAGTGATGAGCGACAATCGCCAAAAACTGACCATAGTATGAATTCGACTCCAATAATGAATAACTCCTGTGCAAGCTCGTGGCTGTTCAAATCACAAAATGCATTAAGTCTTCCACACACTCCGCCCATGCCGTTTCGTAATTCTGTCTCCAAAGCCAGGTTGGCGGATCAGTCTTCAACAAATGCTCCTTTACTTAGTGTAAGTTTGTAAACCAGGTGATTGTTTTCGTTTTGAACATGAAATAACTTTTTCCATGTTTGGAACCCACCTATTATCTTTGAAGTGTATGGACTTAGTCTGAATGTAGTTATCAATTCACGCATTTGAGAGAAACCAAAGAATGAATTCACCTGCACCATTGCAAACGATTTCGAGCCATGTCATTCAAGGTCTCTAACCATCGATGACTATCATCTCGCGAACCCCGACTAGGCTGTCTACACCTACTTACATGACTCAGTCCGCTTGTCAGTAACTTCATGGATTTGTCCCATGTTTTGGTTTGGCCGCCCCTAGCATTCTTCCAACCTACTTTTGCACCACAAAACATTGCCCATCGAGGCAGTCGGTGGTTGGGCATACGTAACGCGTGCTAACCACCTCAAATGATGAAGTTTCAATACTTAATCTATTGATTTTTCACCCTTACCTAGTACCTGTTTCCTAACAATAGCATTGCTTACTCGGTTGTTTTAGGATATACGAGCAATGCCTCCAAGATACCTATGATCGAAAACTGGTAACCTACAAATATCTTCTACTCTTACTGGCCATGTTTCACAGCCATAAGGTAGGACGGAGCGAACTACTGCACAGTACACTCATCCTTTAGTCAGCAAACGGATGTCTCACCCACGTCATAAGTAACACAGGTCGTCAAAAGCCAATCGAGCCTTCTGTATCCGAGCTGAGATTTCGTCAGTCACCAGGCCACCAGCACTGATGAGACTCCCATGATAAGTGAAGCGGTCGACACATTCGACTACTCCACTCCCTATCAATAGTTCAGGTACCGACGAAACACAATCTTGAAGCAACATTTTGCATTTCGAGGGTGAGAACCGCATCCCGAACATGCATTGCTGCTTAGGGTAGGTCAGAGGATTCTTCATTTTGTCAGCGTCTTCACTGAATAGAACTATGTTATCAGCTACTCTAGGTTAGCAGACGTGTCTTCTAGTAGAACGTCCACTCCTGAATATTCACACGATGATAATCTTAACTCTAAAAGCACATCTATGACAAAGTTAAACAAGGATGGAGAGAGTGGACAGTCGTGACGGAACCACCTGAAGTAAAGAATTCCGATGGCAGTTTACCATAAGCTCTAACTCAACCTCTAGTGTTCGAGTGGAGAGCTTGTATAAGGTTTATGTACTTCTTTGGTACAGCTTCTAATGACGGGTACTGCCACAGAACCTCACGATCCACAAAGTCAAATGCCGCCTTAATGTCCAGGAAGACAAATATTGTAGGACGCCTAAATGTGTGTCTGTGTTCCAGGACCTGTCGTAGTGTGAAGATGTGGTCTATACATCCACGACCAGGTCGACAAGCAGCCTGGTTTTCTCTAGTCTGCCCTTCACGAGATCTAATTAGGCGTCCAAGGATAACTGAGGCTAACAATTTAGAAACTATATTAGTTTGACTTATTCCCCTGTGATTGTCACAAGAAGACTTTTGTCCTTTTTTGTAGACTGGGGCAATCAGTGATTGAGATTAGTCAGATGGGATTACGCCTAGTTCCCAGGTTCTACATAAGATCTCAGTCAATCTAGCTGCTAAAACTGGACCATCGTCATTAAGAATCTCAGGGATAAGTCTGTCAGGCCCTGCTGCTCGCCCTCACTTCAGATTTCCTATCGCTTTCTCAACTTCATAAACAGTCGGAGGACTTATATCGATTTGCCATTCAGGATGACTGGAGATCGTGGGTACCTGACGTGTGGCTGAAGGCCAGTTAAACTGATCCCTGGAGAGTTATGCCCATCGATCCAGTCTCCTGGGTTGAGAATGCATGATGCAGCCATCCTTTTCTGAGATAGTTTCGCTAACAGATGGATTTCTTTGATAAAGCGGAAAAGTTGTCTACTATTGCGTATCACCGCTGCCTTTTCCAGTTCTCTCGCTTTCGTCACCCTCTACAGTTCTCGATCATTGCGTAGATTTTTTATCAGCCTGCGCTTAAGCTGACTTCGCTCTTCATCTCACTCAGAGCGGGATGAGTTTTCGAGCATCCACCAGTTCGGTATATGCTACTGAGATCCACGGCTTCTTCCTAGACTTACGGTTTACTTTGCTAGCAGTTATCACGGCCGTTTCCACAGCATTTTTGATATCATTCCAACCTGCCTCCGGATGAGAATTTCTTTCATGGTCGCCTAACTGTTTTTCTAGTTGTTCCTGAAATATATTCTTAGCTTTATTATCATTAAGTAGAACCCTAAAAGGTTTTTTGCGGTGTCTTTCCTACGTCTAGTAAATTGCAAACAAATACGTGCTCGCACAAGAGCGTGGTCTGAATCCAAACATATGCCGCAGAACGAGCGACAGTCCTCTATCGGTGGCTGATGGCAATGTGATCTAGTTGGGTCCAGCGTCGAGACGCGTTTGGGGGTCGCCAGGTGAAAAGATGTTTTACCTCATACTTAAAGTTAGTGTTTGCTAAAAACAGGCGGTTATCTGAGCATAGTTGCAGCAGACGTCGCCATTATCCGTTTGATTAGCCACGATACCATAAGATCCACCTAGGTGCCTTTCATTTTCACTTAGTCTACCTACTTGAGCATTGAAGTCATTAGCCATTATTACTATATCAGAGCGCCCAACTTTTTTGAGGAGTTCCGAAAGCTTTCTATAGAACTCATCTTTCACCTCGTCTGAACTGCAGTCAGTGGAAGCGTAGGCCGATACGACGAAGAGGCGACGGCTAGTGTCCCTATTTTTCCGACTCCTTACTGTCCGTTTAGTCGGACAGCGCACAAGCGACTATCTACTGGGATCCAGTATAGGAGCTCTAGTTCTGCCCTACGACTCAATGCTATACCTACACCAGCGAGGCCACAGGAAGCAGCAGCAGGGCTTCCAGATACACTAAGAGTAAATCGAGCTGCTTCTTTATTTTGATAAGGTGAAATCAGATTAGTGATTTTACTAGGATCCTGCATGCGTGTTTCCGAGACGTAGCGTACATCGATGACGCAAGATTCTGTTGTCCTAGCTAAGGAAGCCTTTTGCCCTATTTGACACGATGTCCGTACATTAAAAGCTCCGACAATTAGTCCAGAACGGGGTTTCAGGAGACCAGGAATAACGTTTGAGGACTCGCATCGTTTGCATTAGCGGTGCAGTTGAGATAAGGGAATGTGAGTAGAGTTAATCGTGGAGATAAGAGAGATATTACGGGGTGTAGGAAGGACTTGATTTCGACCGATTTGGTCTCGTGTGCCGTTACGGGTATGAGGGCGATCGTCACTTCCCGGCTACCCACACCGTGGAAGGTTGTTTCTTGAGAGACCTGAAAAGGAAGGCAGATTAGTGTTGGTCTTAGAGACCTGGATGCGTGACCGCAGAGCCCAAGGGACAACTGCTTGAGACCGGTCACGCACGGCCTTTTTATGAGAGACTTTTTGAGGATTAGCTCCGCTCTTAAAGGCCCTTAGTTGGCACCCTTAACGCCGGAGACGGAAATCCGTGAGGTAGGGTGAGGTGTGACATTTTTAGGGTCGACCTTTTCTAACCCTTCCTTCCTTGTGAGAAGGCAGCATCGTTGCAGATGCTGGTTGTCCGAGGGAAACTCTTTACTGCTGTTACACCCCTCTGCAGTCGGCAGTACGACTTCGCCCTCAGACCTTTTAGTCTCATCGTCCTCCAATCGACCTGCCTGGCATTGTAGAACCTTCAGGAACATATGTTGCAGCCAATATAGCTCGGTTGGGTCATCACGATAGGCAAGCCCGACCACCACGTCAAGGTAGCAGCTACGGTCTGGACACAAGGTTCGAAGCTGACGCTGACTCCGCTCCTCATGGTACTCAAATCTAGATGGGGTGGGTTTCCGAGCATCCATGATTACTATAGATACCACTGAAATCCACCCCTTCTCTCTAAGCTTATGATTTACGTTATTAGCAGATATTACTGCTGTTTCCACAGCCTTTTTAATATCATTCCAAACTGCCCCTAAGTGGGCATTGCTTACGTTGCTGCCAACTGTTTTTTGTTGTTCGTGGAATATTTTCTTGGCTTTATTATCATTAAGTAGAATTCCTAAGAGGTTTCTTTGCTATCTCTTTCGTACGTCCAGTAAGCTTTAGACAAATATGTGTTCGTACTTGAACATGATGTGAACATGTGCTCCAGAATGAACTTGAGTCTTCTATTGAGCCGTTCCATCAGTGCGTGATAGGGATGTGGTCTAGTTGAGTCGCTTTTAGGGGTCGCCATGTCAAAAGATGTTTCTCCTCATGCCGAAATTTAGTATTTACTAGAAATAGACGGTTATTTGAGCATAGCTGCAGCAGATGATCGCAGTCAGTGGTAGTCTACTTCTGCATGAAACACGGTAAATGTTATATTAAAGTTTCTAAAAATCTAATAAAAATTTCCTTTCGTTTAGGGATTATGTGGTAGTCTCCTTTCAGCATACTCAAGTAATGACGAAGATTACGACCAACTTAGTCACCCTTCAGAACACAAGCAAATTGATTCTAATACCCAAGTTAACTCCGATCACTTGTCATCTGCTCCCTCCAACTTCTGCTCCGAATCAGTTGAGTGTTCACATGCTCTACCTATAGAATCTAACCTACCAGAAGAAGCATCAGATGTTTCACATTCATTTTCTTCAGTTGTACAAGATCAAATGCAAGATAGTCCTGTTCCATGGGATGAAGCAAATAAAATGTCAACCGTCAACTCGCAAAAATCGGACGAAACAATTGCTCAGTGCGATAAATTAGATGAAGTATCTAGTAGTGATCTTAAACCTTCAATTTCCAATGTAGACCAAGACGATTCTCCTTCCAGAGGATTGGAGGTTAGTGTCCTAATGAGTTTTGTGTAAGTATAGATGTCGTCAATTTGAAGCATTAATTCTAAACTACTTTGTAGCAATATATCAATTGAATATAGCCGGTTTCGTCAGTATGGAGTTATATTCAAGTTATTGCTTCCATATGCGGATTCTTAACCTTTTAACGAGATTACTTAATGATCTAATCACATTACTACAAAGTTAAGGGTTTTTTGGAGGAAAAAACCTTACTACTGGTAACTTATAGATAGTACTATTTTTGAAGAAAACGTCTCCGTATTCACGTTAGACAAATAATTAATTCGTGACTCAGAATCCCATTCAGTTTATCTGTTCTCATTCATGCCCTGCCATAGTTGATCTATAAAATGTTAAGGAGTCTTAAGCTTTTGGATCCATACAAGAGGTAAATCCTTCGTTCACTATGGAAGTTTATGGATCCTGAGATTTACCTCACCATTTATCGCAGGTTTACTTATCCAAATTCTCCGGTGATGTTTAGTGGACTGTAAAATTTTACTTTGACTTTATAGCTCGACACAACTGATGAAAGTTGTCAGGTCCTGAGGCCTATCGGTCAACTTGAAGCATTTGTGCAAAATTTGAATTCTGAAGTGTCTAGTTCGGTAGTGTCCGTATCACTGCACAACGGATCTCCAAAATCTGCAAGCAACCCATCTGCTCATTTAAACTGTGTAGCATCTATGGAGGACTTAAATCATCAGGTAAATCAACTTTATATTCCTAAATTTTATATTTTGCGGAGATAATATTTACTCTTAATAGCAGTTTATCTAAAAACCATTGAGTTGTTGACTGAAATATAGCATTTGAATTTACCTAAATTCACTCTTTTATGCAATACTGGATTCAATGCTGGCTATGATATTTTTGTTATGTTGTATCATATCAATGAGTTTATCTTTTAAAAACATAATCATCAAAAAAGCTTCTGTTCGTTTGTTCGAGTATATAATCGTCCTCATTTGTAAATATCTTAGTAGCAAGTCTTAAAAAGTCTAAGTTTCTGACCTTTTTTTCATAGCGTATGATCACAGAAGCTAATAAACAATTGTTCAAAGTACATCGTACCAGTCGTTCCAAAAATTTTAGTTTCTCAGTTTCATCCTTATTGAGATAGTTTCAGCATTAGCGCTAACAATTCATGTTACAGATATTCAGATGTCCCAAACTAGCTTGTACGACTTAATATTCCATCATTTGTTTTCTTTCGCAGTTGTAGATTGAGCGTTCTCCTCTTCACACTGTGCCCTTTTTATTGTTCATAAAGATGCTCTCCTTATCAATTGGTTAACGTCTGTGTACGTTATTTTGTTATCGTTCCTGAAGACAAAAATTATAAAAATTACATCATCATTATATTTACAGACTTTCTATTTTCTAGGAATCAATTACTTCAACTAATTCACCCTTACCTGTCTTGGTTGGTGTAAGACGTCCCCGTTCACCAGGAATGGATTCGAGTAGTAGTGATCCTAATGTTTCAACAAGCAAAGATGCAGATTTATCGGAAAGTCCCGCTAAAAGACGTAGACTTCTGTCTTCAGAGTTAACTGAAACAACAGAATCTAGTACAGATTCATTAGTAAGTTTTATCTCTTATAGTTTTACTCAATTAATTATAGTACCATGTCATGATATCTATTAGCTTAATAAGTTAGAGATACCACTTTCTGGTTTCAAAGGTGGGACGACTTTCTCGAAAATATTATTGGTTGCTAAGTGATAATTAATTCCTTGAGATGATTATATAGTGCTGCATCCGTTTCTGTACTATCACATATAGGCCCTAATAAACATTATCTTTCAACTGTTAGTGGTTTCCAAATTTGGAATGTTATTACTGGATCACCCGTTCGTATTTTAAGGTTTTGTGAAACACAAAGCCTTTTCTCTCTCGCGATGGGCAGATTACCCAAAGTAGATTATTCACTTAATTAGCTACCATTACAACTAATGATGGGATTCATATCTAGCCAAAAGTTACTATGTGTTCTAACAAGGCATGCAGAGCAGAGTGAGTTAGACCTGGAAAAGAGAAGAAAAATGAAGGGATGAGTCACAGGTCCAGCAACTGCGCAAAATTCATTAAACTTTAATCAGGAAAGCAATAGATGACGATCAGTCATAACACAAGCCTCAGATTAAAACAATCTGAAAATCTAGACTAGAGACAGTGTGGTTTTTAACCGGCAACACTAATCTTTTGTTCAATCATCGTTTTATAACGAAGGACCATACATGAAGCAAATCCTAAACATTTAAAACTAATAATCAAACACAATTTTATTTAAGTTTATTTCTTATCTAATAATGGTTTTATTTTGTTATTTAGAATATTTTGCATTTATGTAACTGGCCGGTGAGAGTAGAGGACATTCGTAGGTTGCATGTCTTCGATCATAGGTGTCTTCGAAGCATTGCTCGTATATCCAGGGACAACCGAGTGAGCAATGCTGTCGTTAGGGAATGGGTACTAGGTAGAAATGGCACATCAGTTGATGAAGTATTGAAACTTCATCATTTGAGGTGGTTGGGACATGTGTTACGTATGCCTAACTACCGACTACCTCGACGAGCAATGTTCTGTGGTGTAGGAGTAGGTTGGAAGAATGCTAAGGGCGGCCAGTCTGAAACATGGGACAAATCCATGAAGTCACCGACAAGTGGACTGAGTCATGTTGGTAGATGTAGACTACCTGGTTGGGGTCCGCGAGATGATAGTAATCGATGGTTATAGACCTTGAATGACATGGCTCAGAACCGTTCGCAATGGAACAGGTGCATCTGTTCTTTGGTTTCTCTCAAATGCCAACCCTCTGGATTCATCACTTTATCCTCCTCTTTTTAAGTTTATTTCACTACATTCTACTTCCTGACTAATATCTTCGAACCCTAATCTTCTCCATTACTGCTAATATTACTACTATCAATACCACTATTGGGTTTGAACTGACAGTTGCGTCTCTGTGCTGATGCGGTATGGCAACCTGAATTAATTTGTTACGTACGAAGTTCTGCGTTGTATCTGTCTGTCTATCTGTCATGCAACTGTGTAGTAAGAAAAAATTCAGAAGACAATTTAATTTCAACGTTTTAATCTGTGATTATATTTTCAATTTTAAACTGATATGGCATTTTTTAACCATTTGAAATTCAGCCATGAGTGCAAAGTTAATACCATACCCTTATTGTAAGGTACGCTTTTGAAATTTTACCATATTGAAACCAATTATTTTTTTCTTCGTTTTAATAGGTTGGAATTAGTCTACAGACTGTGACTTCTTCATCTGTGACATTGAATGATTCTCCGCCTATTATTATGTGTAACCCTATGAATCAAACTCGTGATATGGATTCTGGTGAATGCCTTTTCGAAACTTCAGAAGATCATAGTTCTGGTCAATCTGTAGTCGATCCAGTCTCAGTGAGTGACAATATATCTAACTTACACGGAGTAGTGAACATTGATTTCACACAAAATTCCGAGTTAACTTCAGAATCTGTAGAAGAAAATGAAACTATTTTGATAAATAACGAAAATATTAGTCTACCAACTGTAAACTTGTCGAATATTAATTCAGAAACTGGAGAGGAAGAGTCATAGTAGTTTTTCTTAATTATAGCTATGTAATAATGTTACATTATGGTCACAAAAAATTTCATGAAAAAACTTTATTGTATATCATATCACTTCTTATTGTTGTGTAAAAGTTCTGGTTGGACATTCATTATTTTCAATGTATTCTAATTGTGTTATAATTGTCTTTATTATTGTTATTTTTGCTACTCAAGTTTAATATAGATGTATTATTCAGGACTAGGTATTAGATTCGATGAGAAAACAGTCTCATTGGTTATTTCTATGGTTCATCTAGTCTCTGCGTAAATCTCCACTGTTAGACAACTTGATTGACATGCTCTATCCAATATTTAAGCTGAGGTTTAGACTGCCAATGTTTATAGCTTTGATTCTGATTATATTCACCAGTAGACTTATTCATGTTCTATTAATAAACGACAACAATCGTTTTCTCACTTAAGCTAATTCATATTTCATGATTTATTGTCAGTAAACAGTGTATTAATTTTTACTAAGTAAATATGGTATTCATTAGTAATGTAAGTTCATACTTTTAGGTGTAGAGGGATTATTCAGTCATAATGGATTTGTCAATAATGTTATTATTTTTTTGAAGTAGTCTTTTCAGTCAGTCAGTCAGTCAGTTACAACGTAGAACATCGTATGTACGTACATCAGTTCAAGCTGCTATACCTCATTAGCCCAGAGATGCAATAGTCAATTCCAATCCCGAAGTAGTAGAGGTAGTATAAGTATAAGCAGTAATCGGAAAGATTAGGGTTCGACGATATTGTTCTAGGAGTATAATCCAGTGAAATGAATTTGAGTAGAGAAAGATGAAGAATCCAGAGGATTAGCATTTGAGAGAAACCAAAAAATGAATTCACCAGCACGATTGCAAACGATTTCGAGCCATGTCATTCAAGGTCTCCAACCATTGATTACTATCATCTCGCGAACCCCGACTAGGTTGTCTACACCTACTTACATGGCTCAGTCGACTTGTTGCCTTGTCATAAGATGTTTTTCCTTACCTTAAAGGTCGGTATATGCTAGAAATAGGTGGTAATCTGGACGCATCTGCAGCAGAGGGTCTTCATTATCTGTTACATGTGCTGCGAAACTATAAAATCCGCCCATCTGTCTTTCGATTTTGTTTAGTCTACCAACTTGAGCAATAAAGTCACCAATCACTATTACAATATCCAAGTGCTTAGTGTTTTGAAGGTGGGAGGGTTTTCCGTAATTTTCATCTGTTACATCATCTGACCTACAATTGTTCGGATCGTAGACAGACGACAAAGATGCAACAACAAGTGTCTCTCTCTCCCAATATTTACTGTTCATGTTTAGTCGAACAGTGCGCAATATACTGCCTATTTGAGTCCAGTCTAATAGAGCTAATTCCACTCTAGAAATCAATGCTATACCTACACCATCGAGGTCACAGGAGGCAGCGATGGGGCTTCCAGATACACGAATCGTAAATCGCGACAGTACTTTACACTGACAAGGTGAAGTCAAATAAGTGAGACTACTGGGGGCATGTATGCGCGTTTTGGAGACGCAGCATTCATTGATGGCACAAGATTCTAGAGTCCTTGCTAAGGAGGTCTGTTGTCCTATTTGGCACAAGGTTCGAAAATTGAAAGCTGCAACATGTAGTTTAGAGTATAGTTTTAGGGGACTAAGAATGACGTTTCGTGTAATCAAGTGGTTAGCACTAGCGCCGTGAGGCGATAGAGGTATACTAGACGGGCTAGTAGTGGGGGTAAGAGAGTTATTTAGGGCTGTAGGAGGGATTTGATTTTGAGCAAGTTGATCTCTTGTGCTGTTAGGTGTATGAAGGCGGACATCACTTCCCAGCTGTCTACGCTTTGAAGGGCTGTTTCTTGCGGAACCTGAAAAGGAAATAGGATTAGTGTTAGTCTTAGCAACCCGGGGGTGTGACTGCAGAACATTAGGTACAAAGACTGCAGGCCGGTCACACACGGCTTGTTTATGAGGAGTTTTAGAAATTAGTTCCGCCCTCCGAATGGCCTTGCCGCCGGAGACGGAAATCTGTGGGGTGTGACATTTCTAGGGTCGACCCCTTGCGTTGTGAGTAGGTAGCATGGCGCGAATGCTGGTTGTTGGAGGGAAACATTTTACTGCTGTCACACTTCCCTACAATCAGCAGTAGAACTTTGCTCTCAGACCTTGAGTATTTGCTGTTAGTCTTGCCGTTCTCCGATCGACCTGCCTGGCATGGTAGAATCTGATGGAACATGTGTTTCAGCTAAAATTTCTCAGCTGGGTCACGATAAGCAAGCTGGACCAGTATGTGAAGCTAGCAGCTATGGTCGGCCATGATCTGTACTTGTATGTGTTTCGCTTCCAATTACATTCGAGACAATTCAATTAACAACAGACATCAAAGTGGACGCGTATCAATTTAATCGATACATAAAGCAAGAGAAATGAGTAATCGTTCGTTCTCTTCAAGTTTGCTCATGTCATTCAATATTTAACAGTAATGGGACTGAAACTTCTAATCAGTCTAAAGACTACTCTTAAATCAACTAATTCTACTTATTATAAATGTGATTAAAGTGATGTGAATTTTCATTATGGTATTTTCGTAGCATCTAACCATTCATTCATTGTACTTTAATAATTAGTCGTTTAAATTATTCGATAATAGCACCGACCATTTTTTATATTTGTAATGATTCGATTACAGTATCGAATATTGTGTGTTTGATTGTGCATGGATGCTTACTCGCTTATTACATGTCTAGCCTATTATTACTTGACTATAAATACTTAGTGTTGGGATAACCAATCGAGAAGAAAGCCACGCACATTGTGGACTGATGAACTATTTGATTAATATTCATGATAAACTATTTCATTAATGATGAACTATGTGATTGATGTTCATGATGAACTATTTGATTCATGTTCAAAATATTTAACGACATTTATATAATTGTATAAATACGCATGTTTGATTGTACATTTTTTCTGTACATTTATTCTGACTATAAGCGTTCTCCAACGTCTTCCGTCTTCTTATTTTTGAACGGAGGGGTCTAACGTTCGGGTGTCATTAGTACAGTGGTTTGGCGTTACATCAAGTACAAAACATTAAAGTGGCGACGGGAGAAAACCAGATCCACAAAACATAAATACTTAGTCATTCTTCAGCACACGGAGAGTTGGCTCACTTGTCTTCTCGTGTTTGCTTCGCTTTGTTTGTACGCTTTCCATTCTCATGTTTATCTGTATGAATGACTGCATGAAATAAATTCATCCGCGAAGCCGTATTCGGCTTCTTATTACCGCCGTCGCACGAACAAGGTTTGCCTAGGTATGTTATAGGGAAATGGACGGGAAGTTTTATTTCACTGCACACTCGATTATTCGTCCACACTAAAGTCCAGTCTGTGAGCCGCTAAATTTATCCACAATCTAAATCTAACCATCATGGTTATTTAATAGCCAGTTAGGCAATGTTCAACATAATTTCATTAGGAATTATATCTCTCTTCAACTTTTCGGTTTTCACAAATTGAGGGCATTGTTTAGTCTACATCTAGTCAATTCTGGTCATTCTCTTCCGGAATCCTTCTTCAAAATCATTCATACCATCAGAAGAATCGATTCAAAGGGAATACAAATGAAAAATGTATGAGCGTCAGAAGCTATAGTTCTCCACCAACTGAAGCCTAACCTTTTGGTACAATATCTATTCGTTGAGTCCCACATTCTGCCACAGTCTTAATCTTTATTTCTATTATCCATGGTTCATTGTTTTCTCTGCTCCTTTCTAAAAATTTTTACAACTATCAAGTAGACATTATCACAGTTCTTAATTATTCTGTGCTTAATAGCTGTTAAGCGGACAGTTGACATTCCTCATTAGCTTGTAGATTATCACATAACTTCGTCTCAGTATCTGTTTTTTCTTAAACAATTCATGACACAATAACTCTACAATTTTGCATTTCACTGAATGACAACTTCTGGTTATTGTAATTAGTCGATTCATGGAATAAATTATCTCCGAACTAATACTGTTTGTTATTTTTCAACAATACAATTCTCAATAAATATCAATTCTCTAATAATAGTTCACTGATTTCTATCCTAATGTTAATTATTACCAGTGACATTTGATTGCTCCAAAAATAAATTAAAAATTACGGAGTTTGTGTTTGTTACTGAAAAATTTTCAAGTTGAATTTAACAACAGACAAGTTTTGCTTGTGAAAAAAACTGATTTGAAAAAAAACTCGATTGATTATTATTATTATCGGTTTTTGAAAGTCATCGAAATAAGACACCAGTTCCTATCTACGTCACTACTTTTTACGTAGGCTGTTCCCTTTTTCTTATCCTTGTTTCAATGTCACAATGTTTGCAGTGTTGTTTTTTGATGATATGGATTACAATCAAAGTTTGGATCTATCTGATTTCATGTTCCAGTGTGTGGTATGGTAACGTAACTGTCACACTGAAAACAGGTCAAACAAATGACATCGCTACCCGCTTCAAAACATCATATCCATTGAGCAGTTACTTATGTAGAACTATACACACAATCACTATCTTCATTACTAAAACAGATACGATATCACACTATAAATTCACTGTTTGTTAGAACGGTTTTTGTGAATGACAGAAAACAGGAGCATAAGTCATTGCTCATAAGTTTCCCAAAAGTAGATTTAAATTTACTGGTTTATTTCAGTAATGCTGTTAGTAAGTGTTGATTTCGAAATCCCTCATTTTCGTAATTGTAAGTTCTTCTGAACTAATTCGTTTCTCAATAGCATATTATTCATAAACCCCAACAATACACTGAGCGAACTGTTGGATTGATAATCTTGGTGCCATTGTAGTGAATTTTTGCAAAATGGTTCGGTTATAGTGATACATTTCCTTCCCCTGCTTGCGCCACTTATGGCGTAAGTGAGATATTCGACTATCAACCACAAGATGAGTTTGCTGCTCAATAGTTCGCCCCGTTCTACAACACGAGTTTGGAGCACGGTCACTAAGAATATAGGATATTCGTAAATTGCCAGTATTTGATAATAGTTTTTTTTTCGAAATATTGCTCGCGCATCCTGGGACTATCGAGTAAGTAACGTAAGGGTTTGAAAAAGGGTACTAGGTAAGGATGGCAAATCAACGTTTTTGTGAACATGAGTAGGACTAAAGGTTCAAATAGTATGT